ACTTGAGGGGAGAACAGGGCAGATTTTTAATAACAGATCTGAATGCCAGCAGGGTGCAGACCCCAGGTAATGGAGAACCAATCACCTGCTCTAAGTGAATTGTTCCATGAGTCCCATCTCTGTTAAACCTTGGCCTCTTATTTTCAGGCTGTGTTCTTCTCACTTCAGCTCCCAGCCATTGGGTCATGTCCTGCCTAGATCTACTACATCAGGGCTACTCAACTTTGGAAGCCCCGGGGACCACAATGATACTCACATGCCAAGGACTGCAACTTCAGTGTGGTTGCACATACATGCAAATATATATGCAAATAGCTTCTTTTACACTGACAGACATGAATACGAAGACTAAGGCAAGATGACACAACACATGGGCCCCATTTAAGTCAGTTCTGCTGATATTAATAAAATGCAGTACTTACCCGATTTCCACGCATATGACATCGCTTTTAATGGGAAATGACAGTCCAGGAATTTAACTACCAAAATGCATATCAACAGAAATCCATTATAGTGACTACTTTTTTGTTTTGGCTCCCACCCATGGGCTGTGTGTTCAGCCCCATGGAAACCCAAACTGCACCACCGGCCACAAAGGGGACACGGGCTGCATATGGCCCACGGGCCATGTGTTGTGTAGCCTTGTACTAGATTTAAGAGACATCCACTATCAGAAATCGCCTTCCCAGGTAGGTATTCGTAGCTCATGAGATCAAGTCACCTGTTAACCTTCGTTGGGATGAACCAAATAGACTGAACTTCTGAATCTCTCACTACAAGGTTTTTTTTTTCCAGATCCTGAATCATTCTTGCAGCTTTTTTTCTGAAATGTTAACAGCTGGCTACCACCAGTGTGGACACCAGAACTGAACACAGCCCTGATCTACGCTACAAAATTACTTTGGTAGAAGTCGGTGATTAGAGGTATCAATAATCCCTGCCTCTGTGGGACAGAGGTACGCTGACCTAAGCATGTAGATAGAGTACAGGAGAGTTCCCACCAACATAGCTATCGCCTCTGGCAGAGGTGGCTTTATTAAGTAGATGGCAGGGCTCTCTCCTGTCACTTCCCTAGAAGCAGTACATTTGTGGGGCCGACCTGCCCACAGTCTGTAGTAGTAATCTCCTTAATGCCATAAGCAGAAGTAGCACTTTCTCGCTTCTCCTACTTGACTGTCCACCGTTTCTATCTCCAGGGATCGCATTGCACCTTTGGCTCACCACGGGACCGCTATGTCCTTCCTGGGCAGAGCCCTTCCTTTCAAGGATACAGCCCTGCATGCGTGCCCTGTGGTCTTGATTCCTGGACCTTGCCCCTGGGCTGTCTGAAAATACATGTTCCCATGGGCCCAGCTGATCTTGAATGCTGTGTGGAATATTCCACCCCCAGCAATCCCCACCGCCCACTGATTGGTGAGTCATCTTCAGCAGGGACTCTTTCCTTCTGGGTCACTGAGAATGACCTCAAAGAGCTGTGGGCCAAGGACACATGGACAAGCTCATGCTGAAATAACAGAATGGTTACCTGCTGCACGGCGTTTCCCCTTCTGCTCCACAGGCTCCCCTCTCACTGCACTGCCAGGGAACGGCTTCTTTGAAAAGGAAGTTTTAAAACAGACCCATTAGAGCACCAGAGTGGATACCTTTTAACATCAGCCTGGCCCTATGATGTAACTGAGACTGAAGGAACGCATTAGCCTTGCTCTGTGCCTCAATGCAGCAGGGAATGCATGCCTGCAAGGAGCATCATCTCTGCATTAACTGAAAAGGAGACACACAAACGACCCAGTAAAAAGAGTGTCTTAGGGATCTGGCTTTCATTGTGGGGCTGGAGGGCAGGGCTTGAATCCTGAAGAAGCCCTGAGGGTAAAAGTTATGGGACTCTTAATTTATAAAATTCTGACTGGGTTGGAGAAAGGAGATTGGTCACATCTATTCTCCCCATCCCATCATACAGGAACAGAGGAACACACAGGGAACCTGCAAGGGGGAACATTCAAAACTGATTTAAAAAATACTTTTTCACACAGTAAGTGATTAGTCTGTGGAACTCACTGCCACAGGAATTAAGCCAATTTCTTGCTATCAGAGACAAGGAAGAACTTGAGCACTCGGGGAGAGATTATCCCACATATCCCCTGGGATGCTACGGGGGGCTTTTAGTAGTTCCTATGAAGTAGCTGGTGCTGGAAATTGTCAGAGACTGGGCTAGATGGAGCTTGGGTCTGAATCTATCTGGCAGTTTGTATGCTCCTAAATTATAGGATAGTTCCTGGGGGTTGTTGTGGACAAAAAAGAGGAAATGTCTTCTTTGCCAGAGGCACTTAGAGAATAGCTGGTGCAAATTTAATTCTATTATATATTGTGCCTCCATCTGAAGTACCTGCTGATGTTTTCATTATCTTTTTAAAAGTCCAATTGTTCTTTGAATCTCTCTAAGCCTTTGGCTACAGTGATAGATTGTTGCAGAGAGTTCCACCGGCTAATTACACCGTGTGTGATTAAGTATTTCATAGAATCATAGAATCATAGGACTGGAAGGGACCTCGAGAGGTCATCGAGTCCAGCCCCCCGCCCTCAAGGCAGGATCAAGCTCCGTCTACACCATCCCTGACAGATGTCTATCTAACCTGTTCTTAAATATCTCCAGAGAGGGAGATTCCACCAATTCCACCACCTCCCTTGGCAATTTATTCCAATATTTGACCACCCTGACAGTTAGGAATTTTTTCCTAATGTCCAATCTAAACCTCCCCTGCTGCACTTTAAGCCCATTACTCCTTGTCCTGTCCTCAGAAACCAAGAGGAACAAATTTTGTCCTTCCTCCTTGTGACACCCTTTTAGATATTTCCTTTGCTTAGTTCTGAATTGCTCACGTTCAGTGTCACGGAATGTTGTCTTGTTCTTTTGTTGGGAGGCATGGAAAAGAGAAGGGATCAATCTCGCTTTTCTTAATCACTCAGAGCAGGCTTTTATCCCATGCCCTCTTATCCATCTCCCTGCTAAAGGAACCAGTCCAGACATTTCAAGCTCTCTTCATAGGAGTGCATTTCCTGGCCCTTGATCATCCCCATCACCCTCCTGTGAACCTCTGTGAGGCCAGGTCTACACTATAAACTTACATCAGTATAACTGAGTCATTCAGGGATGTGAAAATTTATATCCAGCCTCTGGTGTGGACTGCACTAAGTCAACAGGAGACTTCTCCCATCCATGTAGCCACAGCGCATCTCACAGAAATGGACTGGCTGAGCTAATAGGAGAAGCTCTCCTGTTCGCATAGTAGCATCTTCACACTCGTGTGACTGTGCCACCACTGTATTTTGTGTAGATCTGCCCTAATTCTGCAATATCCCATATCAAATGGGTTGTCCCAGCACTATACACAGGATCCAGGTGGGGCCACTGCTCTGATTTATACAAAGGCATCAGAACATTCCCTGTAAAATTCTTCATCTTGATTTTCTTCACAAGCTTCTGCAAAATTTTTCTCCCTTCCTGCTTAGCCCCCTTTCCAGATATTTACTTAATAATTTAAACCACAATTTCCTCCTACAATCCCTTCTGACATCTCCAGAGTTAAGCTATGGCCACATTGTGAATTGTGTCTCTTGCACTTTACACAGCAATATGGAGAATACCTTCCCCCTTCCCCCTCCCCCTGGACATAGCTGAGCTCAAAGGGTATGTCTACACTACCCCGCTAGTTCGAACTAGCGGGGTAATAATCCAAATATTTATGAACAGTTAATATTTTATCTGAAATTGCAGTATTAAGTGCAATGCAGTGGCTGCCTTGTAAGTATTTTCTGTTTTGCAGCTTTAACTACCAATCTTACTTTTCTCATTGAAACATTTTGTGATGTAACTTTGTTCTAGGCCTGTCAATTTGCAACAGTTAACTTAAACAAGTAACACAAATTAACTAGATTAAAAATTAATTGCAATTAATCATTTTATTTACACCATTAAATAATAAAATATTTGGATGTTTGGGTACATTTTCAAATACATTGATTTCTAGTACAACAGAATATAGTGTACGGAGTTCACTGTATATTACAAATATTTGCACTCTTTGGGTATGTCTACATTACCCTCCTAGTTCGAACTAGGAGGGTAATGTAGACATACCCAAAGAGAGCTGGGCAAGTTTTCTACGGAAACATTTGTCAGATAAAATATGCAGATTCAATTATGCCAAAACATTTAGCAAATTCATGTAGATTTTACCATGTTTTTCAATTGAAAAACACTTCATATATAAAATATTGTTTCATTTTCATATATTCAACACAAAAATGTTTCAATTTTTTAATTTTACTTCTGAAATTGCCTTAATTTTTTTAACAAATAAAATCCATTTTTAAATGCTTAAAATGCAAATGAAACAAAGCGTTAAGTACAACCCGCAACGGCAATGTTTTCAACTTTTTGATTCACCCCAAAATTTGAAAAATGTTGATTTTGGTTTGACACAAAACAATTGTTTTTCAATTTTTCAGAATTTCCAGGGAACCAGAAAAAAAAAACCATATTCACTCCCCATGAACTGTGTTCACTGAACGTGCAAAGACAAGGTCCAGCAACATGCACATGGCTGTTCCAGGTGGTCCCTGGCAGCTTCTAAAACACAGAACATAGGGAGCGGCTCTGTTAGGTGGGAGAAAAAATAAGGCTGCAGAAGGGTAATCCTATTACACTCGTTGTACTATTGTTCATTCAAGGGTTAATGCTATTGTACGTCATTGTATTAACTGGATGTATATATCAGTGGTCCCCAACGCAGTGCCCGCAGGCGCCATGACACTCACTGGGGCACTTATGTGCACCCGCCGAGTGATCAGGGCCTGGCAGCCCCACCCCTAGGCACCTGGCAGCCCCAAAAGGTTGGGGACCATTGGTATATATTGTAAACCTGTAAAAACAAAGAATCAAGAAAGGTAAAATTTGTGTTTGATCAAAGGACCCTAGCAGTGATGGTTTGCAGTGAAGGATTATATCCTTGCAGACATCATACTTCAAGGAGGGGATTGTTAAGGGTAAAATCCTAAAAGGTTAAATGTCCAATTTGTAATGTATGTTTGGTTTGTGATGTGCTCCTGTTAAAATCAAAATGGAACAACAGTCATCCATTTTGTAAATCAAAATGGGAGATAAGCCGCCTGCCCCAGGTCCGTCGGAACATGATTTTCCCGCTTTCTGGCAGAAAAGAGGTAAACAAGTTCCAGTCCAAACTGGATTTACCTCAGAAGCACATCCTACAGGGTCTCCCTAGCAGGGGCAGACGCTGCGGGGTCTCCCTAGCAGGGGTTTACCGCTTTAGACAGCACAAAAGGCCGACAGCTGGATAATTCGGGGCTGCCCATCCTAGAGGCAGGGGGCACAGAGACTCTGTGGGAAGAGAGCTGCTGCAGCCATAGGAAGACTCCATCACCAGCCACCCTGACCTTCAGCGAGGAAGAGGACTCCTCGATGTTCCTCTGTCACAGCTCTCAGTGAGCTGAGAGGTTGAGGTCCTGAGCGACCCTCTGGGAACCATCACAAAAGTTGCTATAAACTTTTGTTATACTTACCGTGCAATGGGGACTGATTACTGTACCATTCAGTATTTGTTTCTTATTATTATTACCCCTTGAATCCCCTCTTTTGTAAATTTACCCCTAATAGATTGGGTATTGTTCAGTTCACATAAACTGGGCCCTTTGATTAATTAAAACACGCCACCAAACGATAGATACTGGCTGTCACAGGACTCCAACAGAGGGTCTAGTATTGTTAGGGGACTCCTCTACAGCCTTATCTTTTCTCCCAGCTAACAGCTCACATACTAGTTGACGCAATGGTCACCAACTAGTAGATCAGGCTCTATTGGTAGATCTTTGAGCCACTTGACAGGTAATGATCCTAACTGGTTTGGCCAAGAGGCTATCAAGGGCTGGCACTTCAGCTGCCCCTCTTCCCACTGCTGCACATCTGCTGCCCTTTGCCTTGGAGTTGTCCCCTAAGGAGCCTCCTGCTTGCTGCGCAGAGCAAGGGAGGGTGAGGAAGGTGCTGATGTCAAGGTGCCCCCCTTCCCCCCTGTATCCTATCTCCATAGAGCAGAGGGGGAGCACAACAGGACTTGCGATGGAGTTAGCTGGCTGCTTTTGGGAGTGGTGCAGAGCCAGATTAGGGAAGAGCCTGCCCTTAGCCCCACTGCACCACCACCCAGGAGCCACCTGAGGTAAACAGTGCCCAGTTGGAGCCCACATCCTGAAACCCTATCCTAGTCATGAATTCCCTCCAGCAACCCAACCCCCTGCCCCAGCTCTGAGTACCCCTGTATCCAAATGCCCTCCCAGATGCCTGCCCCTAGAACTCCCTCTTACATCCTAACTGCATTGCCCAGGTTCAGCTCAGAGCCCCTCTCACACTTAATCTAAGACCACAGTCTGCACCCCAGCCCTCTGCCCCAGCCTGGTGAAAGTGAGGGAGAATGGGGGAAGGAGGGAGGACAGAATGAGTAGGGATGGAGCCTCGGAAAAGGGGTCCAAAGGCGGCCCAGCAAGGGCATTTGGGTTTGAGGTAGATCTTGGATTGCACTTAAATTCAAAAAGCTTAAAAAGGCTGGAGACCCCTGAGTTAAAGGGATGCTACCTTATGCACTAGAAATGGTCTGTTTAACTTTTCTTTGTTGTCTTTCTTTTAGACAAGATCCAATCCATGACAGAACTTAGCTTCTTTATTTACCAGATTATTGAAATTTTATATAGATTTCCCATTTACCTGTGGCTTAGAGGCTTCATATGGTTGATTTGAATGTTTATCACCCCGTGTCTTTTTCACTTCCTTTGGCTGGGAAGCAGAGCCTCTAAGGAGGTCTGTCTCCTTCTTTGGTGACTCCGGATGATGCTCAGAGAGCTGCTGAATTCTGGTTTCTTCTCCCAGCGATGGCACAGACCTCTTCTTAGGGGATACATGATTTTATTAAAGGATGTAACCTTTCCACTGGGCTATGATGCTTACTACAGTCATCACAACTTTGTCACAACTAGATGACCGCAATCCAAGGTGTTTTTCATGGAGTTACAATTTAAGAATCCTCGTAATTTGAGCTGGGCACATTTCATAGAGCAATAACGTGTTTGCCAAAAACCACATTTTAGAAGCAACAGAACTTTCAAATAATTAGATCAATCTAAAATTTGGCTGGTGAAAAAAATGGAGAAAGAATTTGAAGACCTTGAAATAGTTCATTTCTGGCTATTTGAAAACAAACCATTTCAACTTTTCACCAGGGCACGTTGCAGTTTGACTGCTTTGAAATAAAGCGCTTTGAGATTTCCTTTCCAAATGGTGATCTGTTTTGAAATGTAGCTAATTAAAAAAAATTAAACACACCCTACCCCAGCCCAAAATGAAATGAAGACTCCTTCCACTCAACATTCATTTTCTTCAAATTTTTTTTGGTTCATCGCAAACATGAGGGGAAAAAAATCAGGTTTTTGCTCAGTTCTGCTCCTAAAGTCAAGACAAAGCAGATGGTGATACTCCATGCATCACAGATAGGCCCCTATGACCAGGCTCCAAGGTCAGCACTGGTTTCTGATTGGCCGTGCAGTTTGAGAGGTTAGTTGTGTCCCAGAAAGCCTTAAATGGCTGGAGACCATCCAGATGAAAATTCTGCTTTCTCCCCATGGGATACCGCTATAGCTATGACCAGCAAAGGCATCTGAGGTAGGAGGCCCCTGATTTAATAGACAGGATATTTTCTGCAAGGAATTCATAACCTTGCAACTCACTGCATGCCTCCAGATCCATTGGCTGTCAGGGATTATAAAACTTGGCTGTTTTCTTGGCCTGCAGGACTGGGTTGATCTTCTCTAGCTGAGCCAGGAATAATAGAGTTGGAGGCAGAAATGACTGAGAGAGATTCTTTGGCTGGGTTTATGCCAGAGGCAAGACTAGATGGGCACATTGGAAATGGATGAGCTTGTGAATTGTGAGTTACTGGTTTCTCACATGAAGGCTTCAGGTATCAAAGGGGCTTTTATTATGTTGTACAGTGTCTTTGGGTGGTAGTACTTGGGGATTCTACAACTATTAAAACCTATAGTCAGAGATAAATACGCTTTGCAGATATGGGCCCTAATTTTCAGAAGTAGACATTTAATATTTGGGGACCAGAATGTTTGACTGACCAGCTCGGGTATGTCTATACTGCACACAGAAACCAGACTTTGAATCAGGTTTAAGCCTAATCCCCCTTCCGTTCACACAACATCAGACCAACTCAGATAAGGCAGCATTCCAGACTCTGCTAGGAGATGGATCAAAACCTGAATCCCATCATGTCTCAGCTCTAAGCCCTGTCATATGCAAGTCAAGCCACAGAGCCAAGTCAGAAAGTCTGCGTTGTGCAGTATGGACATTTTTGCATGGTCATGTGAGACCCAGGCCCAGCAACTGTAAATACAGGTTTGAAATGTAGTGCCAATGTGCTGCTTCATTTCACCGAAAACCTCCCAATCTTCCATCAAAACACCATTTAATGGAAATATTCTGAGCAGCACTAGCTGAAAGAAATTATCACAAATAACAGCACATGTTGGCGCAGATTCATTAATCTAGAGCCTTTTACCATTTAAAATGAAAACAATTTAAAAGGCTCAATTCTAGAGTGTGCTCTGGATTCCCTCCATGTAGGGGCTCTCTTAAGAGCAGCTGAATAACTCTCCCTTCCCAGCCCACTGGCCCACAGGCCTCTCCCTGAGTAAGGGGATACCAGTGCAGCATCCCCATGAGAGAATCTGGGCCCAGGTTTGTAAACAACCCAGCCCTTTAGCATTCACTTGAGGGGAACAGAAAGTGGTGTCGTATTCATCCCTGGCATGAGGTTGGGTGTGGTTCTCTGGCCTGAGTTATCAGACTTAGGTGATCAAAATAGTCCCTGTGATTTTAGAGCCTCTTGGCCTAAAGTACAAAAGTTTGCTGGTCAGACATGAACTAGAACTTGCTCGAGGGTACTACTCTGTGGCACCAGCCAAGCCAGCCTGCAGTCTAATTGCTGGAATGACTACACGCAACTGATGCTGATTGGGTTAAATAAAATACCCACCTTGTCCGCTACTCCACTGGCATGGCTCTGTGGCTGGGATCCAGACCCC